TAATACAGTCGAAAAAAAATTGGCTCTTTTTACGGGCGTTAACTCTTCGAATGCCACTCGCTGAAGAGCATTTGTTCAGCTCCCCGACAGGAATTCCTACTCATTGATGAGAATGAAGCCTCTGCTAGTTTTTCTTTCAACACAGTGGACTTTGGAGCTAGCAACAAGCTTTGGAGGTGAAATGTAGCCGGTCAGTGGTTATTATTAATAATAATAATCCTTGCATTTGATTTAGCACCTTATCATGTCTTTGAGACGTCGCAAAGCGCTTATCTAACACAGTTTACAATTTCCACTGAGTGAGAACTTGTAATTTTTTTTGCACACCCAAATCCCTCTTGAAAGTATTCCTCACCCCCCCCCCCCTTTCCACACTCCCTTCCACTTTGGACACAATTCTAAAGTCATGTATTTATGAGCCTGTGCAGCAGACTGCTTTACTTGTCAAACCAAATAGATGTTGAGTTCGACTTAACAGGCATCCAAAAATGGCAAACCTCCCCCACTGTCTACACACAGAATGAGCTTTGTAGAGTTTGTGAGTTTTCTGTTCTAAGTTTTAGGCATGCGGTTGTAAAAAGACACAGGCATGTATTGGTGGTGCGCCAGGAATTAATTGCCATTGATAAAGTAACCATGGTTCCTGAGGTGGATACGGTGTAAGGGTGGGCTGTCCAATTGCATTTCTGTTCTACACTGTCTCGAAAAAATGCAGTGACTGACTGTCTAGATACTTAATTGCATAATTATTTTTAATATTAAATAAATCCCACCCTGGTTGTTTTGTGGAAGACTCATAAAAAGGAACAGCTGGTTGCCATATATGTAGTTTTTAAGTAATTTAGTGATAACTGAGAAAAGTTCTCTTTCTGCCTACAGTGCAAAATTATTGATGGATTATTCAGCCCTTTGTTTATACTTAGGAAATCGAAAACAACCAGCTGTTCCATTTTGTGTTTCTACACCTCGAAGCCTCACCAGTGGCTTATTTTATTCGTCAATCCATTTGTAGATCTGAACCGAATCTGAACTCGGAGTGACCTGCTTTGGCTAATTTCAAGCTAATTCACAGGTACTATGCATAAATCAACAGTCTCATTTTAGGACTAAACCTGATAAAACTCAATAATTACCATCTCCTTCCCCCCCTCCCCCCCTTATTTATCTTATGATAAATAAGACTTCTGAAGCTGAACACAATGACCAGATTGTCACCTTCAAGTCTATTCAGCCCAGTCTCTGATAACAATTAAGAATCATGCACGAGGCTTATAGTATTCGTGAAAGATGTTCCACCACTAGAGGTCTCTAGCATGCTGTGCAAATATTGCACGTTTGCACATTGGTGCTCGTGACAAAGGCAGCACCAACCTTCACTTAAAGCTCCTCGTGAAAGGTAAATGCACTAACCGTCACAGCGAGAGGAGTCACCTCTACACTGCCACCCACAGAAAATCCATTTGAATGTACATTTTTAAAAATAAGCAGCAAATTAATTCAGACTTCATGCTTTTCTGCTGATTCCGGCGTGTACCTGACTCGTTCATAAATACATAAATTCACAGAGTTTACTGTTTGTTTCATCCACACGAAAGCACCATGTTATACATGTCATATTGTAAGACGTTATTCTGGTAATGTGTTGCGCAAATTCATCACTTATTTTTCACACGTGTCTCTTCCAGAATTGTGTTCCTGATTCAATTCCAAGGTTTCTTTTTACTTTTTAAAATCTTAAATTTTTAAATAAAACACAGCCAACAATTCATCACGGCTGAATTCCCTCAAATGTTTTATCCACATTCAGGGGGTAGAGGGGAAAAAATAAGACCTGTAAAATCCTAATGGAAAAAAATACTTGAATTTGGTATAACACCTGCAACTTTGAGAACACCTCGAAGCACATCACAAAGTTTCTGTGAAGTGTAGTGACTACATATTTGTAAGCCAACATAACTTTTATCCTAACTGGGTTATTCTGAGTCTGGGTTGTTCACCTACAAAACACACAGTCACTACACTTTATGGTACAGTGTTGTGAGGCATCCTCCCCACTATATAATGTGCAGAGATTATTTTATTATATTCAGAGTTTGGGTGGATTTACCCGTTGCAAATAATTGCTAAAGGGCTTGGCAGAGCACAATTTAATTATCTGTTCATGAATGTTACTTTCCCTCCATTTACAGTATGTGTGGCTTCCTGCTGTCTCTTTAATGTGCATTTTTGTATTGTACTTGATGGATTTGGAGGGCATCTGATTACTGTCAGTCTGGTTGGACTAGAGAAGGCTGTAAAAGTGAGTTTGGCTCTTATTTTCTCCAGGGGTATGTGGGTGGAAGAAAAAATGCATCTTTTTTTTTTGATCCTGGAGGTCTAGAGAAACCAAGGGGGATAAGAAGCCAACAGGAGTGGGATCTAACATTTTAAAACAAGTGGCAAATCTAGTGACTTACTGAGGTTACCTCAGCTGTTCTCTCTGTGTCGTCCACCCCACCACCCCCACAAACACACATTGCCATCTGTCTTTAAATCCTGCCTTAAAAAAAATCTCTTTGACCCTGCCTACAGTCACCTCCCTTGGTTGGTGTCCATCCCATTCTCTGTGAAGCGCTCCCAAGATGTTATAATAATAATAATAAATAATAATAATCCTTGCATTTGATAAAGCGCCTTATCACATCTTAGCATTTCAGGTAAACAGAGGCGTGTGGAGTAAGGAAACTTGCCCAATGTTTCGGCCTGCCGGGAATCAAACCCAGGTCCTCTCGCTTGCAAGGCGAGTGCTTTAACCACTAAGCTACAGGACTTATCCAACATGAAGGGTACTATGCAGATTGCTGTTGATATACTCTGCCATGACTCCGTGACTGGTGCAAGCACTTGGCTGTTGTATTCTACACCTAAGTGATCACGCGGCTACTCTGGCTCTCTGATCTGCTGACCTGGGCAACTACACGGCTGACCATGCACTGTCTAGGGTAACCTGGACAGTTACCCTGGCCATTTCTTGGCGATGCCAACAAACACGGGTGTAAATCTGTTACACAAGTTACCTGTTAGATTCTGTCCGGAATCTCCTTGTTATACCAAAGTGAGACACAAACTCGAATGTGTTTGGAATGAGATGCTTGTAGCACTTGCATGTGGCGGGTGCAATGAGGGCAGTTTGGTGTTGGGTGAAATTGATATGTGCCCAAAGAGATAGTAAGGGTGAAACCAACTCCCAGCACATTGTTGGATCTGCTTTTGCAGGATCTCAATGCAGGAGAATTGGTCGGCTTGAGTTTGTTTGGCCTCGATGTAGCATCATGACCATGGCAGGATAGGACGCACAAAGGTTTACAAACTCACAGAGGGTCACTTTCCTATGAATGGATTCTAAGTTTATAAACTGTTGTAGTGTTGTTTAAAGATTGAAGCTTCAGCAGCGAATAGCATCTGTCAGGAATCAGGAGAGATAACTAACTGTCAAGAGCCTGTAGAGTTGTTTATTCTTAGCAGCAGTAAATAGCAAAGCAGAAATCGTCCAAACTGGAGGAAGATCAAAATGCAACCTGGACACACTGTGTCACTCGTTTGGGAAGGAGTGGGGCGGGTGGGGGGGGAAGGGAGAAATACAGTTATGCTGATTGTTTGTTCAGAGCAATCTTGTGATGCTGAGATGTGCAGGTGTGCATGTTGATGTACGGCAGCCAACATGTATTAGTTTTATTCAAAGTAGCCGGTTGTGGCTTTTGCCCAACAAATTATATTCTAATGTTGCACTAACACTAGTCCAGTTTGTATACAAAGTCAGGTCAGTTCCATGCAAAACAAACTTCATGTTATGGAGCAATGCACCATTGGTCGATAAACCTCCTGCAGAAAATAAAGGGACACTGGAGCAAGAATATCATGGGGATTAGATATTGTCTACGATTAATTTGTCTGTGCTTCAATGTAATAGTAATCCTTGCATTTTATGCAGCAGCGCCTTATGTCATTGAGATGTCTCAAAGCACTTCATGGAATCTACTGTAAAATGGTGTATCTGTGTATTTTGTGGGTGATGGGAGATTTGGCGCAAAAAGAAAGGCTTGAAAGGTATTTCAAATGCCTCCATTTGTGTTTCTGTACGATTTCTGTATGTATTTTTTTACTGCCAAGGCCAATAATCTGCAGTGGATATCTAACAAAGGCGAGTGTCCCGACAATTAAAGACCTGAAAAAGACACGACTTCTGCCAGATTTAACTTCATTTTCACCTTGAACGCCTTTTCATGTCTCTCGAAATCTTAAAGCAGAAACAGTTGCCGCTGCTTAAACTTTGAAGTCAAACAGGAAGGCAGAATGCAGCGAAAGGCATTGCTTTTCAGTGCCGATTCCTGGAGCATTGATGTTTGGTGTTTGAGGATTATGCAGGGGACAAGGCTCCGAGCCCTTGCTTTCTCTCTCTCTCTCTCTCTCTCTCTCGCTATCAGCGTGACAAAAAACACTGCCCCCTCCTTTCACTTTAGATTTCATTTAATTTAAACAAATATGGAATCATGTTGCGTGAACCTGGCATTTGATTCCACCCGTTTTTATTTTGCTCCATCATCGGCGGATTTTACTCCTATAATCTGTATGCGTGGCTTTTACTTGCACTACAACAAGAAAGGACTAAGTTCAGTGATACATGAAGTGATTTGCACTGTAAAGAAGTCCAGAGGCATCTGGAGTTAGAAAGCATAATCACATGAAAAATTGTTTCATCTGCTGAGCTTCACACACACACACACACAGCAGCTTGGGCTTGTTATGTGAATACCTGGCACTCGCTGGTACTGATAAGCAGTCGTCCTGTGACTTCATTGTTTCTGTTAACTTTGCTGAGAGTCATTCACCATTGAGTACAATTGGAAGCATTTCGTTTTATTTATGTTTGCACTTTGAGGCAGCGCGGAGCCAGGCAAAATGTGCAGCGATGGTAACTACCGCCACATATCCAATCAGATTCTATCATTTTGTGTCTGCAGGGTAAGAAGAGTGAATATTGAGGGTGGCTGTGACTGGAGATTGCTTTAATAAGCAACTACTTCTCAGAGGAAGGTAAATAAAAAGGTTTTATTCTTTATAAAAGGAGCCTCCTTGCCTGGATCGCCAAGGTGTGTTTTTTCCCCCCGCTGTTAATGCTGCTTAAACTTGGTTGGGCAGCGCAAACTGTTGGAGGATTTCGAAAAGTAATCAGTGTAAATGTAAAATATGTATAATTATTCACAGAAGAATGCTTTTAAATAATTGGAAGACCTGTAGAGTCTCTCTTTTTTTTAATATAGATATATATATTATAAAGAGAAACCTTATTAGCCAGTCTAGCTGTGCAGAGAAACCTACTTGGAATTCAGCTGTCTGTTTCATAATCACCTTTTGTCAGAAATTAATAGTCAGTTAAGTGCCATAGCAACAGTGATGTAACCATCAAGCAGTGACTGCAAAACCTTGTGATGTAGGCACCCATTAGCACTGTTGTCCACCCGACCTTGCCAGACTGAAACATTAGCAATATATTAGGTTGATTTATTAATTGGAAAAAATATTGAAGATGCAAGAAGGAACGGAACCATGATGGTGGGGAGGGGAACACACAAGACTCGTAAGATTTAGAATTTCTTTGCAGAATGAATTGCGTTCCTCGGTCTGTTTTATGCATTTACAACACTTTGATTCTTAAGAGCCCTATTTAATCCCTTTGCCTGGCACTGAACATAATAAACAACTTGCCGGTGCTAAAGTGCCACATGGGGGTGGCTGCTAACAAGAGAGTTTAATGTTTCTGCCACTAGCAGTTTTGTCGCTATATTTTTCATGAGCTGTAACTACCGGTAATGTACTTCGGTAGCTCCAGAGCAGTAGTTAAACATAGTGACAAGCTAAACAGCCCCAAGGCCTCTCGCGTTAAGAGTAAGAGAACACATAGAATGCATGTTGCTTCAGAATGATAGCAGAAAATAAAAGTAACTTTAGAATTTCTTCTGATCTGTCGAAACAGTGGTTCCTCCTGCTCATACAGTACCACAGAGCAGGGTTAGCATTTCACCCGCTTTGTTTAGGGATCTTTGTGTGGTTTTTTTTATCGTCACAGGCTTGTTGCCGGCTGTGGAAGGTGAGAATAGCTGCTCTTGGAATGTGCAAGGAGTAATACAGTATTGGGCACTTTAGCAAAGAAAGGCTTGCTGTGTCCCTTGATTTCTCAGTTTCTCTTACACAAGGAAAAGCTAATGCACACAGACTGCAGGCACAGAGCTAAACTGTCTGTACGCTCTCGTGAAGATGTGAAGAGTTCAGACTCCGTGATGGTTTAGCTCTGACGACTGCACCCCTTGCGCTTTATAATTACCTTTCCCTCACACAGGAGGAACTGAGCGATCAGAGACACAGACCTTTCTTCGTTAAATAATGCTTTATTTGAATAATTTTTATCGATCCGCCGAAAAGGTCCATATATTTTGGAATTATTTTTTTTTAATTTTTTATTGATTTACAATACATTGTTTTTTTTAAAAAAATGGATGTCCCACTGCATTTTAGCATTGACGCTGATGTGTAGTGCAATGTAGTCAGGTTTTAAGGACATTGATAACGTAATTTTTGAAGGAAAGCATGGCATTGCAACAAACTTTTAAACCTTGGCAACACTTCTTTTAGAAAAGTCCTCAGATAACCTTTTACTAATTTATTAAGTGATTCAAAGTGGTCAGTGTACAGCAGGTTTCTCACTCTGAATCGTTTTCTGGGCAGAAGTGATGTCAGATTATTCCAGGAGTGTAAAAGAGGTATCAACTGTTTGGTGTCAGCTTGGCGCAGTGGAATTTTGATCGCACGGTCCAGGCTGATGCTCAGGGCAGTGCTGGGGGACGTGCAGCGTTGTCAGAGGTGCTGCCTTTCAGATGAGCAGTTAAACCGCCACCACCACCAACAACAACAAAATTACATGTGTATAGCGCCTTTCACGTCGGGAGGACGTCTCAAGGGGCTGCACAGACAGAGTTACGGACCCGAGCTGAGGGTTGGGGTGGGGGAGGCAGGGGCGAAGCAGGAAGATCGAAAGCACGGTCGAAGAGGAGGATCTTGAGGTGGGTCTTGAAAGTGGCGAGAGAGGGGGCGAGATGGAGGGACTGCGGGATGGAGTTCCAGAGGGTGGGGGCAGAGTGGCGGAAGGCCCGCCCGCCAATAGTGGGGCGAGCAAGGCGGGGGACATGAAGCAGGCCTGAGCCCGCTGAGCGGAGGGAGCGAACAGGGTGGTAGGGGGTTAGGAGGTCGCAGAGGTAAGGGGGAGCAAGACCGTGGAGGACATTGAAGATGAAGACCAGGATCTTGAACTGATGGAAAGCCAATGGAGTTGGGCAAAGATGAGGGTGATAGGGTCGAGGAGCCCGGTGCGGGAGAGGACACGGGCTGCAGAGTTCTGTATGATCTGCAGCCCGTGGAGGGAGGAGTTGGGGAGGCTGACAAGCAGGGAGTTTGCATAGTCAAGCCTCGATGTAATGAACCAGATGTCAGATGGTCTGTGTTGAAATGGACGTGAGGATGATCCCATGGCACTGTTTGAAAAGAGAAGGACGTTTCTCCCAGTGTTCTGGCCATCAATCCCCCTGAGATTAAAAAAAAATGGTCAATGACTTCAAAGTTGTTTGCGAGACAATGCTGTGTCCAAATTGGTTGCCACATTTGCTTACAAATGACTAACAGTGACTAACATCATAATACATTTTGTGGAGCACTGTGAAACATTTTGTATGATATGAAAAGCAACGATATCAATTACATGAATGAAGCCCCAACCGTCTCAGCCTCTATCCTTCCACCTCTGTCCATCTTCATATCCCACCTTAAAAATCTACCTCTTCCACCGCATCTATGGTCACCTCTCCTTTCCACCCAGCTCGGTGTCTAACCACCGTGAAGCACTCCTGCGCTATCCTGCATGAAGGGCGCTGTATAAACACGGTTTGTTGTTGTTATTTTGCACTCGAGCCATATTGACTAACGTGAGTGGGATGCTACAATCGGAAGAATAAAAAGAAGTGACTTTAGAACAGCGTACTTAACGTGTCAAACGTGAAATGCTGACAAGAGTCGCTGTATCTAATGAAATAAAAATCCAACTGCTGTGTGATGTTCATCTATAGAGACTGGAAATTGGAATGGTGTTGAACTGTTTATTAGCTTACAAAAATTGCCTTTTATGAGAATCTAAATGGTGCAACAAAGCACAGCATGACATGTTTCAGTGTTTATATTTAAAGTCTTAATTTGGAGAGCACTGTCTCGCTGCCTCTCTCTCTCTCTCTCTCCCTCTCGCACTTCTATTTTCTTGGCTTGTTTAATGTTTTCTGCGAGCAGTCACAGTGCCAGCTTTAAAAAAAAACAGGCTGGAGCATCCTGCACCCCATGTGCGAGAAAACAGCTGCTCGCTCCTTAATGAAAAAAAAAGCCCTTTTCTAAAGCTGAACCTGTCTACAAAGGAGGGAGTGATAGAGTCAAGGAATTGCTGCTCGAGTGTTAAGATGCAGAGAGTTGGCCATCATCGTGCCTTTGAACTTGTGAACTGATACTTGTTACCTTGATTTATTGATTCTGATATGTCTGCGTGGTGCATTAAGCTTTATTCCAGCACGGCAGTTGCGGCCTACATCTTTAACTTAAAATGACTTCCAGTGCAGTTTGTGTATAATGTCTTCTCTTAAGAGCTGTAATCTTGGTTTTGGGCAGGAAAAATAAATCTTTTATCACCCGCTCCTCTTTCCTGCCGCCCCCACCACCAAATGTGGTCGGTGACTAATTGCACTGCCCAATGCTTTATTTTGAAGAGGCAAAATAATACGAATCCTTGCAACCCGATCGCCGAGACGTCTCAAAGTGCTTCGCTTTAGGGCTTTTGACTCGAAAGTGTAGTGACTGCCGTACGTGTTGGCGAACAGCAATGTCTTTTGACGTCTCCGCCTGTTTTGCCTCCGCAAAAGTAAATCGCTGTTCGACGCTGTGCTTGTTTGTTTTGTATAAAAGGTTTTAAAGCGGGTCCCCTGTTGACAAAAAAACATGCCTGGATAAACAGAGCTGCGTTTCCACGCGAAAAAAAAAACCTTACCCACTGAGAGAGAAAGGGTGAAAGCGAACTGATAAACACCATTAGCTCGGGGGAAAAAAAAAATTCCATTTCGTTGCAACTATGTTATTGTTTACTTTACCATACACATCCTAATATGGTTACCTCCCTGTCAAAGTAGCAGGGCCAGGGTTTGTGAGGCCCCCGGAGGGAATGGTTTCACTGGCTTGCTTGTGCTCCGAAGCCGGCGGGTGAAGACAATAAGAAACAAAAGTGCACAACTTCCCCCACCCGCCCACCACCAAAAAGGCTTCCCGGAAAAAGGTGTCGCATAAATCTTAAGCGACTTCTCTTCCTCTTGACAACTGGGCAGTGAACGTGCAAGCCGGCTTTTCCACGCTGCCCAAGCATTACAGTTCCCTCTAGCTGCTGTACTTTATACGTCTGGCCATGTGAATCACTCGTGTCTCTTGTTGCTCTGTAGAGAGCTTTCAGAGCGTCCCTGCTTCCTTGAGATGGAGCCGTGCTTACACCTCAGTTGAGCTATCAGGAATAGTGTTTGAACGCTGCCTTTATTAGCGATGTTAAGGTAAGCATGCTGATTTAGGCCTGAACCTCTCGTCACCCCCGATGCTATGGTCACCAAAGACATATCCCAGTGATTAAATACTGATTTTTGTGTATCACTGTCCTCAGTCGTCAAAACAATCATAGGAGCTCCGTGCTTTGTTTTAATTACCAGTTGTGGTGATGGTGGGGTGGCGGGCGGGCGAGAAAATTTTGCCATCAGTCTGAACGTGATCGGGCAGAGGTGTACTCGCTCTCATGTAAATAGCGCTGTGAATACTTGCTTGTGTTGGCAGGGATTGTCAGAGAGTGCCGAGTTTTTTCATGTCCATCCTTTCTCGTCTGCTCGCCACTCATCTGAGACCTCACATCCTTTCGAAAATCCTCATGTTACGGAGGCTCGCCAGTTATCTGTAACACGAGGAACAAAGGTAGG